AGAAGCAAGGCGAGAGAGGAATACAGAATTCTCTATTATCTCTCATTCTGTTAAGGAATTTTAGGCATGTATGAATATCATTGCACTAGACACAGAAAGACACAGTAAATTCTGAATTCTTGACATCTTCTAAAGTGCTATAGCATCATTTATCAAAATTGGATCATAAAGGGTCTATGCAAAACTAACTTCACATATAGGTATCATTGCAAATAGGAGAAAAAAGTCTAGACAGATCTCCCTTCTGTGCTCTGCAAGGCAGGAAAGAGAATGTCCAAGGAATAGAAATACTACTCTTTTAGAGTTGTAGTGATTTCTTTTTAGGTCATCATCAGGCATTGTATTTCATTTCAGTGTAATCACTGAAATGTGAAAACTTAATTTTTGAGAGAATATAGTTGAGAAGATGAGACTGCATCCAAACAGGAGCATTTCACATAAGTCTTATGAATATCGTCTTGCTTTATGAATGTGGTTTTTTTTCCTATTAATGAAAGAAACACCGTCTTTTGTATCTGGCTCCCCACTCTCATGGCTTAGTCCTCAGCTGTGGCACACAAACGTGCTATGCAGTAGAATAGCTACATTTAAAAAGGTTACCTTTAGTCCCTTTTTACAATGTTCTTAGGCCAGCTTTTTGGTAGAGATTTTGGGGTTTTGTTTGTTTGTTTGTTTTTGTTGGGTTTTTTTTTTAGTTTGACTCTACTACCAGGTGACACATACAGACACATCAGTCTGATAAAATTTTTTGCAATAAATACAGATTAAAACATGAAAGGAATCATATGAGTAAGTAGATGTTAAGTCTAAAATGAGGTAATTTTTTTCCTATTGATTTCATTGCTGTATTTAATAAAACCATAGCTCAGCATGTAAAATGGTTTGCTTTTTGTGCTTCTACTTATCTTGATGTTTCTGGAAAAATGAAGCCATCCTGCTGTTCGAATTCTGCTTGCTCAAATATGCAGTATAAAAATTCACTCTATTCTGTACTGTTACACTCTGATGCTTCCCAATGGAGTATTGTTCTGGTGCAGGTTTAAGCTTATTGTGGGCTTGCAAAATATCGGTCAAAATGGATTGCAGAAATTCTTTTGCTGATAGTAACATAACTAACAGCTTATACTAACAAAAAAAAAAATCTCTTAGTTTGAAAACTGTGTTGTTCTTTCCATCTCAGCGTTCTTAGAACACTTAATTTTGCATTTAACAAAGTTATGTGAAGTAGGATGACTGAAGTCTGTCTGACTAAATGGGAACTTTCTCAGCTAGTGCCGGTGAGGAGTCTAATAGGTTAAAAACTACCACTCGTATTTAGGGTGATAGCGACTGCCATAACCATTACAAATACAGTAAAAACTGTTCGTTCAAGGAGTTGGCTTATGTTTAAAATACAAATAGTGGGACCAGTTTCAATTGCTGTCAGGTGAGGACAACTATATGAACTTTTCCCCAGTTCTTCAAGGCTGACCACAATCCTAGCAGAAGTTTAGTCATACTACCATGCCTTTACCTGATACAACTTATTTTGCTGGTAGCTGTTTAAAACCTCCACAAACCACAGACCTCTTGATTTCAGCTGTTACCTGCTATTTGGCTTAGAAGTGTCTAGGTTTAGCAAGTTCATGAAAGTTACTTCAGTGCATGTTCTGAAATAATAATTCTCAGCTTAATTTTTTTTCCTGTTTCCCCTTTTCATTTGAGTCCTTACCTCAGTTTTCTCTACTTTCTTATTCTGTCATCTGTTTGAGCAATTCCGCTAATATTTAAAAACTTGTGGTGCTATCTCCATTAAATTGCACGCCAAATCCTTAACTGTTTTGTGCTGTCACAAAAATGTAAATCTAGCTTGGGAATTCATGCTAGGGAGGCATAAGTTTGATTTAACTTTGAGCATGTTGTCCAACCGATAGATAGGTTGGGTCCTAAGACCGTCAGACCTTTGACAGGAGAACAAACACGCTTTACAGAGGGGTAGGCAGAGAATTTTGTTTGCTATTTTGGATTAGCTACATGTCCTGACCTTTCATTAAGGACTTCAGCATTTGACAAAGTCATTGCTGTAGCATGCTGATGAAATCAGCTGCTGTTGACTCTTCTGCACAAGTACATCTGCTTTACTTTGTCCAAGAATTGGAACAAATTCCTGTTAATGTGATTAGAAATAAAAGATTAACACCTTAATATCAGAAGAGGAATTACCAATGTGAAACGTTTTCTTATGAAGCATAGGTCAAATGTGTAGAGGCATTCATTCCTCAGTACTATCTTGAGTGTAGTGAGACACTGATGTTGTTAAATAATCCTGCAGTTTTCGTCATGTTAAGTACAAGCGACAGTTAACTGTCATTAAGGTGTCTTAGTGACTTGCTTTAAAAAAATGATCAGTACTGAAATTCTCATGTGTAATACTGAGGATTTCTTTTCAGCCATGCTAAGCTTGGCAGGCAGCTGGGTGTGAGGTAAAGCACTTGCCGCTTTCTCTCCTAAGTACCTACAAGCACCAGTTAGACTAGCCACGCCGCTAGACTAATTTAGCTAAGCTTGGTTGGAGCTGACCACGACTTTCACAATTCATGGATAGAATTCAAGTGGAATTTTATGTTGGGGTGAGAGACCCTGATAAATGCAGTGTCTGTGTTAGGCAAACTGAACTATCTGTCTTCTGCAGCATGTGTTTTGTTCCTTGAAGCCAGTGAACCGTATCAACAATTTTTATTTAAAATGCTATGTGATGTTCTTAACTGGTGCTGTGCTGCTTTGGAAGTCATTTACAACAGTACACTGATGATTGTATGAGGTTTCTGAAATGGCTTCATGATGAAGTTAGTCACATGAGTCAGGTTTGAGTCTGTTGCTCCAACAAAAGGGGATCTTAAAACTATCAGAACAGGAATATATTTCTAAATCCTGAAAAAGTATGCAATAACTTAACAGTTTTTAATACAACTGATTTAGCCATTCTCTTAGTAATCCATAGAGTGTCTTGCATCCAGGTGGTATCCTGTAGAGGCAGGAGGTTTAGCCCTAATAACAAATTGTAGAGGTTGCTAATCACATTTTTAAGCCCCCTGTCTGTGAGTTTAGGAATGATGAAAGAAGTATCTTATCATGGAACTGTTTGAAGTAGTTTGCAGGCTTACTCTAATTCTCAGTACTTACAGTTTTTAACTCTACAGGTAGCACACAAAATAAGAGACATGATCACAACAAGCAGGAATTGCAATGATTTAGTAACTGTTGAAGTGATATCAAAGACTGCTCCTGAAAAAGTTGGGTCCTCAGCAACACAAGAGAGAGATTCAGAAGTGGAAACTTAAATAAAGATGAAAGATGTGTATTACTGCGATACTAACAATCAAGAAGGCCAGAAAGGCTTTGGAGAAAAAGTCACCTGCACATTTGATGTAAAGATCTGTTCTGTAGTTCTTTCTATCACCAACCTTTTAAAGACAAATTAATAAAGTACTTCACGTTCTTGTAGACAAAAATACTGGCCCAAAATTGCTTTCTTCAAGTATTTTCATATAGCTGGTACTTAGCCTTCAATATATAGCCAGGAACTTGCCCTGGCTACTAGTAGTTTCTTAGATGCTTCTTTCTTACTGGTGTGAGCAGAACTGTGTAGTCTTAAATAATTTAGTACTTGCCTTTGCACAAGCCTGTTCAATAGGAAGGCACCAGGTACCAAATGTGTCAGAGAATCCGTTTCTGGCTGCTTTCAAAACATAACCAAGAAGGTCACAAAGGGATTCTAGTATTTATTCAGGCACTGGAAAAGTGGAAAGCTGGACCCATATCTTCAGGATGTCTTCCATAGGCTATTTTAGGATGTTGAGAAATCTGGTCTTTCTGTCAAAGATGCCTGTTGTAGCAGAGCATTTACATATGGAAAAAACACGTCTGTTCTACGACATTTTTAAAGAGTGTCAGTGTGCTTTCAGCTCCAAATCATCTTCAGGCAATTCTCTTAAATATAAAATGCATCAACTAGTCCTTTCAACAGAAACTAGAATTGCAGTGCAACCTTAACTTGACCCATGGAGCTCAATTGCTGTTTCTGTTTGTAATGAAAGCCTGTTGCATTAACCTACATGTACAATGCTTTTCATTTCTGGGGCAAGTTAGAAAAAAAAATACAGCTGTTTCAGGAGTGGAGCCATAATGTAAAACATCACTGCCATGTGTCCAGGCATAACTGTTGAATCTAACTATAATAATAAAGGCAAGGAGGCCACCTCATGCTGGCTGTGACTTCGTGCACTTAACCTTGTCCATAGAACTGGATTGAGTAGCTTTTAAAATTATGGCAAAAGTAGAGCACAGCCATCTGAACTGAAAGGAATTTAAGTTATGCTGCTATGGGGAGTACGTTGAGGTGTGGAAGGTTGCAGCAGCGTGTGAATTACAGGGTGTAGTTAAACCTGCATAAAATATCCACCATGTCACGGCTTCTGGAGTGTCCTTGAGCACCATTTACTACTATTGTATGAAACTAATGGTCCTAACCCCTCTCCCACCCCTTTTTTTTTTTTCCTTTCTCAAATTATACATGAAAATTATTGAAGGCCCAGTTATTTATGGCTACTGCTTGCATCATTCAGGAAGAAGAGTTCGTAGAAGTCTCCTCACCCTGTTTGAGCCAAGCGTCAGGGATTCCCTGCTTCTACTAGGGTGGAGCCCTAGATAGTCTGACTATGTGTGCAAAAAAAAAAAAAAAAGCAGCAATTTGGACTAAGTACCAGCACAGAAAAACTTAGGATAGCTATAAATTTGTTATGAAGACATCAGAAAGGAGGCTTCTATTCTCCTTGCTAAGCCCCAACCCAGAGTTGTAGCTGAGAAGTGAGTGGGCCAACAGTGTGTCTTTAGCTCCTTGTCACAGGTACCAGATAAATATTCTTTGTAATGTATCCTTGTAATGGCGGGCAGTGTGCTGCCTAGCGTGACAATTGGTACATTTGCAAGTGTTATATACCTTGATATTTTAATCTTTATTTATGCAGGGACTCAAACCAATAGTTTCCACTGAATCCCCAGCTCTGATTTTTGGGACAACAACTAAACTTGCTTCAGATTTACCAGCAACTGATTCTTTCTTGGGTAAAAACAAGGTGCCAGACCTACAGAAACTTTTTCAGGTAACAACAACTTTGAGAGTAACTTAAAGAAAACTGGAGTGTGGGACACATATTTCCTTATTTTAATGTGGTTAACTACTTTTGTCATTCTACAATACCAAAATTATGTAAAGTCTAGTTAAGAAAGTGTCAAGTACAGTATAACCTTTATATTTGTACTATACTACAAGGTATATATGTCTTGTATAGGAGATTAATACAGAAAGTGGAAAGTCTGTGGAAACACATTGTCTGTGTTTTTGCTGGCTTCAAAAGATGCTTATTGTATTATTTGACTATTGGAAGCACTTTCTGTCTGGGAATCCAAGCATATGCCTTAGAGCAGATCAGGATCAGCAAAGCAGATCATTAATGTTTTGTGTATAATAATTTGAATGTTACTGAAGCTGTTTATAATGCAGTCTCAGGAAAACACAGTAAAGTTTTCAAAGTCAGTTTGATAGCTATGCAGTTTCTAAGCATACTAGGACTTTTCATAAAACAAATCAGTTAAGCACTGTTTTAAAAAACGTTAAGAATGTGCTTTATATAATGTTCCCTTTTCTCTCTTACATGCCACTTGCATTTGGAATGTGTCAGTCTGACTTGGTGAATAAATTTTTATACATCTCTCCACATTCTTTTGTTAGTGACACTTTTCCCATCCAGGTCCTCTTTAGAAAAATTTCAATTATTAATTACATTATTTTTGCCTGCACTTAACAGCTTTGGCTAATAAAATTAACTTGCCTTTGCATTTGTCTTGCTACATGAAAAACACGCCGTACACTTGATTGTAGATAGCCTATTTGCCAGGATGTTTCTCTCACGGAAGTCTCCTAATTTACATGAGGTAGCTTGTTCCTTCTGGCCTTGGTATGGGTGTTCATTTTTGTTGTTGTTGTTTTCTTTTTAAACTCTTCCCACAGAAAGCAGATGGACTGCCAGTGCATCTGAAACGAGGAGTTCCAGACAAGCTGCTCTACCGGACCACTATGGCTCTGACAATAGGCGGGACTATCTACTGTCTAGTAGCACTGTACATGGCCTCACAACCAAGAAACCAAAAATGAACCGCAGCTCATGGGACTCGTGGCACTTCTCTGAAGGACCTACTGCATGTGTCTCTTTGCACTGGCTTTAATCCTGTGATCATATAGGGTTCATTATTGAGATCAAATTTCTTGGAGAAAGTGTTTTTAACTTGGTTGCCTTATGTGTTCCAGAAATCAATATAAACAGACTTGAAGACATTATTTTAACATATGGCTGTAGCTTTGCATTTGTTGTCTTGCAGGAGTGTACGAACAGTTGGAGAAAGCTAAGCTTTTCCTTCCTTCCCTCCCCCAATTTAAACAATGTTAGAGATAGGATAGGACAAATACATTGTGGGCTATGCTCCACATTCCTTAGTGGGAGGATGCTGCTGGTTTCCAAAACAGTAAAAGCAAATAACTTAATTATTATAACACACTGGGAACCTGTTTCTGTCATACACAGCTCATGTTACATAAGCAGGTGGCAGCAGAACTTTTCCAAATGCTGGTATATTATTAAATATTTGTACCTCTGGTGGTAGGATAAAGGGCTCGTCTCCTTGGAGCATTTAGAGTGGATTTATTCCACAGTGTTAGCATCACTGTATGCAGCAAAGCGCACCAGTATTGTACCATCAGTTATACCAGATTTTGGACTTCCACTTGTCAAACTATCTTACTGTGCAATAAAGATAACTACATGAACAATAAAACAGGCAAGTCTTGAAAGTTTCAGACCACTTCAGCTGGCCTGCTAGCAAAATAAACATACTAGTACACTTTAAGTTCAACTTGTAGATCTCAAAACAGACTATTGATTCAGCTACCTTACTGTAATCTTTTTTGAGATCTGTAATCCCCTTAAAACCCTCTGTCAGAACTCATTGGGTGTTTAAGTATAATCTTTGGTGAAACAGGTCGCTGTCATGGCTCAGCTGCATATTATTTTCAGTGCACCCACATAAGTATTTATGTACACACACATTTCCTTCACTATGTGTGTGGAAGAGAGAAGAGCCAATAAACCCCTTTATTCCCTTGTAATATCATAACCTTGAACTGCAAGTTTCACGCAAGTCTACAAAAAGCATCCTCTAATTTGATAGATCCTCCTCTGTCTGTGAACATCGAGTATTCACACTTGGGTCACCCAGGCTCTGGATGAGCAGGGATTCCCTGTCCTCTGTAATCTCTCCCAGAACTGTGCAGAAACCGCCTTCCATGTAAATAAGGAAAACAGTTGATAAAGGAACCTAAAATTCCCGTTTCTTCATTCTTTTACTAAAAGCATTCTGATTTTTTTCCAGTCAAGTTCTATCAAAGCCTTATTACTGTTCTGTAGGAAAGAAAATACCTGCTTGTACTGGGATTTCAGGTTGCAGTATTTCAAGATGGGAGAAATTAAGTCACTGAAAGAAGAAATTTGTAAGGACAGCGAGTCTCAAAGAATAGCAGAGAATAATTAAGTTCTCCAGGAACTGACAGCTGTGTTGCCTCTGCTGATAAAATATTTTATGCTCTATAGCCCATGCTTCCACGGCACTAAGAACCTTGTGCTGGAGGCTGTTAAATAAGCACTGCCTACAAGAATATTTTCATAAAGGATACTTCGCACATGAACTCAACAGGTAGATTTTCATGAGGGTGAATTTTGCTCAGAGAATTTATGTGCTTTTAGTTTTTTGAGGTTTTTTATTTGTTTCTTGTTTTGAAAAACGACTATTTTTAGAGTTCACATAGAGGATAACAGCTTTCTGCTTTTTGCTAAGGCAGGTGTGGATAGAGTAATTAAACTGTTATCCCATAGCTCAATAACCAGCGGAAATACTTGTGGAAAGAATGACAACAGAGACTTGTTGCTCAGGTCCAGCTTTCTTAAGAGGAATCCAACTAGGAGACTGAGTTCATGTATTGTGATAGAGGTCATGGTTGGAGCTATGGATACCATGATTATCTTCCTATTGCCCTAGGACTAGCTTTTCCCAGCTCTTTGTCAGCAGCTAAAAACATGTGTGCTAAAGTGAAAAGAAAACATCAAATTTTGGGAAAAGAGATACTAGATAATCCATTTGTTTTTTGAGGGTATGTGTACACCCCAGTGTGTGGATTTTGAAAAACTATTTTCACTTTGCCCTCCTCAAAAAAGCTGACCCAGTTGAAACAGGATGAGAGCGCTGGTTCAGCCTGTGAGATTCGCAGCCCTGGTTCAGTTGGAGGTTAAAGCACAAAGAGGTATTGCTTGTCTGGAGCCGTTGGGCAGGGCTCCAGTCGTGAGAGAAAGAAGAGACCGCATGTCTGTATTCCCACAGCAGAGTGCTCTGAAGAAGAGGAAAGCTTGCAAGCTGTAACCAGAAGGTTAGGCTGCGGCAGCAAAATCTTAGTCCTTTTCTCAGTTAGTTTTGAGATCATCGTAAGGAGATCACAACACGGTAAAGCCTTTTTCTTCCTGGAAAAGCAGCTCTGCTAAATATGCATTTTAAATACTCCTGATGGTGGACTTTTGTGAGGATTCAAGAGGGTTTTGAATTACTGTTTGTGATAGACCTAGAGAACACCCTTACCCTTCAGTAAGGTAGCAGGAGTAGTCTGTCACTGGCCTGATGTTAGATAGTGTCTTGGGTAAGGAGAACCAGGAATGAATTGCAGCATCAAGAAGGCTACTTCAGTGTTTTGAGTTGTCCCCAAAAGTAAGAATCTGATTTGGGTACTACAGCTTCACTGTATGTGTGTGCTGCAGGGGAGCTTGTAGTGTTGTGCCAACCACATATTACTCTTTTTTTTTTTTTTTTTTTTTTTTTTTAGAAATTATGCATCCTACTAGTACAGAGAACTGAGAAAATAAGATGCATTTAAGTGATAGCTTGTGCTCTAGTGTTTTGGCTTGAATGTACAGTACAGAATAAATTATAAGAAGGTCTCATACCCCAAGGTGCTGGCTTTGGGAGGGAAAGGAGCCGAGACTTGCAATACTCGGGAACAAAATTATCTCATGGATAATGATCCATCCCCCGTGGCATTATCTTATTGTTGAGAGATGATCCCGCTGGCAACTTGAATTCAATAGTTACATCTTTGTAATGGTTTTTAAATCAGATCTTGCTCCCTACTTTTTATGTGGAAGTAGTAGAGCAAATGCCCTTGAGAAGATGTTGATAGTATGCACGTGTGTCTTTCAGCTGCTGTAAAAATAAAAGCGTGTTGAGGAGAGGATTCCTCCACAGTATTTCAGTATGACCATACTGTCTCAACAGGCTTTTGCCTTCATGTTTTAAATTCTCAATAGACTGATTATTTCAATACTAAGACATTAATTGATTGATCTTGCCTTAAAGTAAAGCTTGTCTAATTGAAAGGCACTGTAAAGAATAAAAGCAAGGGAAACTAGGAAAATGGGAATCTAATCTTACAGACATCAAAAGGCTGAAGAGAGTGCTGAAGAGATGTTTCCTCACATTTATACACAGTACTTTCTCTCTCTTTACCCTCCTTCCTCCAAGTTCAAGACTTTCCAAGAGGCTTCTGAAGAGTGACAGATCAGTTTTTTCCACTCCTGTCACAAACCATTACCCCTACAGATCTTAACATTTAAAAAAATCCAAATCTTTTACACAAAAAGTGCATGTATTGGATAAGTTATCTGTAAAAACTGTTCTAAAACCAGATACAAGCTACCTGCAGTTTATGATGTAGCATACCAACTTTTTTCCTTCTCCAGCCCTTAACCTCAGTGAAAAGTTTCACAGGAAGCCAAAGTTTGATCTCTGTTTTAAAATGAAAAGTGGGAAGAGCTTGCCTGTAATCTAAGTATTAATTTTAGCAATAGGCATGAGAAACAACCTTTAAGTATTTTGCATATTCAGTACTAATTGCATCTTAGTTTATTAAAGATTATTAATTTGAATTAATTCCAGTGAGCTGCAGTGCAAGTGGTGCACAGATTGCTAAGAAGTAGAAGCGTCTTTGCTGTGAAAGGGAGTGCCAGCGTGCCCGTGGATCAGGAAATACGCTGTCAGGTGTCAGTGTGGCATCTCACTAGTACCAGAGCGTATCGCCTGGTGCTTCTTATGTGATCCCAGACTGCTTTCAGGTATGGCAGTAGACAGAGGGAACCATTTTATTTGTACATTAATTATCTCAAAATACAAGAAAGTTAAATTCAAGGGTCTTCTTCCGCCCCCCAGTCTGTTGCAGGCAGCCTGTGTCTGGCCTACAAGAAGGCATTCATCATCCTCTGCCCCCAAAGAGAGATGATAACTCCATGCTAAAACATTTTTCTAAATGACTCTGCCCAGTGGATCCAGTGCTGCAAAACTAGGGGGGGTGGGAGGGGGGGCGAAGTACTTTGCCTCGCTTCACATCAGCTGCATGCCGCCATCACCTTTCTCCCTTCCTCACTCCCACATTTTTATTCTTAAAGACAATGAAAAGTTTTCTAGTTTACTTCATTTTTCACGGCATTTTTAAAATAGTCTGTGCCACGAAAGGAATTAAATGGTTTCTAAGTGCTTCAAGAGAACTTCTGAAATACTCATATCAGAAGGCATACATTCTCACATGTATTTTTTTCTCTGCAAGCTGGAACAAGCCCTGGAAATCGTCTTTGTGAAGTACATGATCCTGTCAACCCAGCAACTCCCACCTGCTCCAGGTACAGAGGTGAACCCCCTGCTACAGTGGCAAGTCTTTGAAGAAGCTGTTCTACAGGGATACAAATGTAGGGCCATCAAATGACTTGCTGCTTCCAAGCACCAAACTATATTTCAAGGAAATACTTCTCCCCGCCACATTCTTACACTTTGAGCCACGTTCCCTCAGATGTCTATTGTGCCCATTTTTGTATCTTCCTTGCAATTCAGTCACACACACTGATCTTGCTATGAATTGTCTGTCTGTTTGTGGTGTGCTGGTACCTCAGACATCTTGGATTCCCTTTCTGATTTCATTACTGAGCCCTAATTTTGAGCACCCAAAATTAGAAATGTAGGCATTAATTACAATGCATGTCCATTACGGAACTTTCACTTGAGGCATAGAGCAGAGACAGCTAACAGCATCCATAGCAGTGTTCAGTACAGCCTGACACCATAAAGCAAGTGTTCTTCCAGCCACGCAAA